ATATATATAGATTTTTTGTTTGCTTTTAAAGTAGAAAACAGTTGTAGCAGACCATTGTTCATGTGGAAGAGAACCTTTATTTGATTATCTAAGGGATCTCTCTGGTGTGTACTCTCTCAGTCGACTGAGATTCCTTCAAGTTGAGTAGTGGGTTTTTTTGGTTTTCTTTTTTGTGCCAGTCAGTGTGCAGTGTACGTCTGGGGCTGTTTTAGTCCAGAGATTTACCTGCATAGTGAGTGCTCCATGCTTTAAAGCAGCTCTTTGGTAAAGACAGCTGCGGACACAGAAGCAGCTGCCTGGGTGAAGAGAGGCTTTGCCCGGTCAGGCTTAGAGATAACATTATCATCTGCCTACAAGTGTTGAATTTCCAACTCGCAGCAACTTAACACAATACAGTCTCTGGCTTTTGTTTGATAACCCACAGAGTTCAATATAAATATCAAGGGTGCTCAAGCACTTTTAAATGCAATAAGCAGTGAGGACAATGAATATAAGATTGGTATTAAAGAAAAAAAACACCACATGGTAACTCAAGGCTGACATCTTTTTAAGAAACTATACAAACAATACAGTCTTAGGTAGAAGAGGAGAACTCAGTAGGTCTCAAAAAAATAAAATGAAACCAGAGAGGTTGCTGAAATGTGATAAACTTTTGTCGGTCATTTCTCCTCGTATGTCAAATTTTCTCTTTTCTCTAAAAAGCTCATCAGGTCTCTCATCAATTGAATTCTGTTGTTCCCACTTCTGCAGAATGAGACGCCTGGCCAATAATGTTGAAAAGTTTTGGGGTGTTGAAGAGCCTCTAGGCACAATACCAAAAAGTGCTACAAAAGGGAATGGGTCATGTATTTATTTGCAACAAAGGGAAAGGTTTTGATGACAAGATTGCCAAAACTGTGTCAAAGAAGGACAGGACTGGAACATATGAATAAGAGTTGCGTTGGCCTGATGACATCTGTCGCAGAGAGGGCTTATGTCAGGTTGTATTTTAACGAGTCTTGTCTTAGTCCAGTAAACTTTGTGAATAAGCTTTAATTGAACAAGACTTTGGTGAGCAAAAATAGAGGAAGTAAGAATTTAATACATGTTTTTTATCTTGCTGAATATCACTTTGCTGGCACTGCAATAACTTCTCTCCACTTGTCTCAAACTGAAAAGAAAGCACCACCCACTGGTTGGAGAAACTTTTTCATTTTAGAGCTAAACTGCACTGAAATATGTGTCTGAAAATATTTTAGGTGAAAAACAGGCAATGTAGTAACAGATTCTCGATCTATATTTGATCAGCGCTGCCTGGTTTGACAGTTTGACTGCAGTTCACTCACAAGCTGTTATTGACACTGACAGCTGCTTTAGAGACTCCTTGGCTCTGATCAGTTCTCTTTTAGCCGCAGTAAAATTGTACCAAATGTCATTAGAAGCGCTGCGAGGAGGCAGAGGAACATGATTTTTGCACAGATTAGTCTTGCTGTTGCTTTAAAAATTGCACTCTTGATCTGATGAATGTTGCCAGCGATTGGTCTGTAATTTGTTACAAATGCCACCTAGTTTGTGTAACATGTAAGGAAAAGGCAGCTTTAACGGTACCAGCTGACGACCACCTTCATGATACAGATGGCAATGATGATTATTGTCTAGAAACACCATTCATATGCTGGCGGAATACTGAAAACAAACTAGGTCGTACAGTATGTTCAAAAAGCCGGCTGAGACAAAATGATCACTTAAATACAAGGATAATATTGCACATATTTGAGGCAGATTGAGTTGAATCATTTAGAGATAAAGACACTAATCAGAGTTTAGTGTTTCTTAGCAACACTTTGACCAAGTAAATTGGCTGCTGAGAGCACCAAACCTGCAGATATTCAGTACGGAAACAGCTTCTGTAGTCCGAAGTGCTGCCTGGAGCTTCTTTACTTTATTTGTCTATATTCGGGTCTTTTTTATCACAAAACAATGTGTGTATGCAGGTTCAAACTTGAATGCACACGATGCAGTGTTTCTGTGAACAAGGCCATCAGCAAATTGGTGTATTATGAATATTCATAATAACTGTAGAAGATCTTCAATTTGCACAATATCCACCCACACAATACGCCTTTATTGTTCTGTAGTTTGCTTTGGTTAAAGGCGGTAATTAAAAGGTTCATTATGAGCCTACATTTTCATTACCTTGACATAACAGTCGTCGCTAAAAAAATCTACCTATGCTCTCTCCACTCACCCAAGGGAATACTCACACAGATGAAAAAATAACTTACAAGCACAATGGTCCTTTGGCACTGTTGTAAGCTGAAAGTGTAGAGATTGTACAGTGTTTAACAGTAAAGCTCTCCCGCTCTCTGATACAACAGTTTTTTTTTTCCCCCTGGAGCTGTTATCTCTGCTGGCTGCCTCTCACTCTCCCACCTCTCTATCTCATCACCAATTTTTCCTGTAATTACACATAATTGGTTTTTCTGCACCAAAAATCATTCATGCCGATAATCTCTCATTTGTCTCGGCGAGAAAAATGAATGTTAGATTACATAGATTTACGCTTTAATGGAGCTTGGCGTACTCCACAGCACACCCGTGTTGCATTCAGGCTGCTGTGTGCACGTCTGCAAAGTGGTTTAGTGTTTTCAAATGACTCAAAACTAATTACATTTTCGATAAATCACAATATGAAGCAACTAGAATGATAACATCAAGTGAGGAGTATTTTGTAGTTATGTGGTAAATATGAGAGAAATTCCAAACAGTTTGCAGGGATCCAGGTTTACACGTGAAACACTTCATACTGTGAAAAATATTTTCCAAACCACTGTGTAATAATGAATATATAAGTGACCGTAGAATAATTTGACAGTGTAACATCTGTGACCAAACTTAGGCCAATTATCACATGTGGTTAGTGTAGAAAACACACTGTTCCATTGGCAATAAGTGAAAAGAGATGCTTCTGTAAGCTATGTAT